CCCGCCTCGGCCTCCCAGAGAGCTAGGATTACGGGCGTAAGCCACCGCGCCCGGCCCCCCACCATCCTTTTTAAAAAATAGCTGTTTCTCTTTTTCTGTGAGTAGAGTACTTTTTATGTCTCCATTGATTGGCTAAATGAGATACTGGCTAAAATGTTTGAGATTTTTTTCAAAGTATTTTAAATAGATGATAAATTCTAACGACACCAAAGGGTGGACAGTGAAAAATAAGTGTCTCTCTCTGCATCCCCAGTCCCTTGATCTCTCCCCAAAGGCAGCCGTAGTTACCGGATTTTCAGGTTTCTTTCAATAAAATAGCTTGCACCTGTGTGACTACAAATGTGTGTTTCCTTTCTCCCCCCGAAAGTGTTTCTCAACTGTTTTACACTTATTTTTCCCCTTAATGTATCTTGAAAATCATTCCACATCATTCCAAATGACTCTACCTAATTCTTGCAAATAGTATTCTATTGTACAGAAAGATGATTTTTTTCTTAGTCTGGGGTTTTGGTGAAATATGTTATAGCCAATCAGAATAAATCAGTAAAGCAAGTCATTAGCTCAGTTGGGGGAAAAAAAGATAACAACGGGAAATGATGGAGAATTGCTGGACTGTTTCTTGTATGAACTTAAAACAACTTCAGCTCTCTTCTCCACAGTAGAACATTCTTTTGGCTCATAATTTAAAATCTATGTGCAGGTTATCTACTGTGAATTACTACATTGAATTCTCCTTGGCAGATTATATATACCAACGTGTCCTATTGTCAGCTTGTTCTGCAGGGCTTTCTCACCCCAACCCAAGAGAAAACTAAGCCTGTCTTCGAAGGTCATCTGTCCCCAACAGTGTCTGCACATGTAAATCACATTATCTTTCCAACACCAAAGAGAAATTTTTTTTTTACATTGTTCCATTGTAGGTTTCTTGGGTGCTGCTTTCTTTCCATAGCCAGGGGAGTTAACTGTAAAGTGTTTAATTTAGTGTTGATTTACATAGTTTTATGCATTTATGTTTTCCTAGATTGAAAGTTCTCAGAAGTGGAGTACACCAAATAAATTTTTTGCAGCTGGGCATGGATTAAAGCCCTGATAGGTGACAGTGGTGGCAGTACACTCATGTAGCAGCTGAGCTGGAAGCAGGCCAGATCACTCCCTTACAGATAAGATGCCCTTCAGGGTTCTTTTCAAAGCTGGCCTTTTTCTTTTTCCATCATGCTGCCTCTGCTTTTTGACACGCACAAGCATCCATTTGCAACACTCCCATCACTCTAGTCTGGGGATTGGATGTGAGAACTGACTCAGGACTAACTGCCCCCGATGGATATCCGACAGGAGACCCTGGAGTTCATTTTCATCACCTGATCTGTGAGCTGTTTTTGCCCAAGCTCCATCCCCAGGCCAGCACCACCATGTGGGGAATGAGTTTGGCATGATGGAGAGATTTTGTCTTACTGATAAAACTTTTCATTTTCCCCCTTTCATTGAAATGGTCTTAAGCCAAGGCAAGAGATGTTACAAACATCATTCAAGGAACTCATTGTTATTCTAATGAGTCTGCATTAAACCGTGCAGGAAATTAGAAGGCCTAGGTAATTGAACTGTGGAAAATTATAGCTGGAGAAATTCATAGCTCTCCCATCATAATAGAATTAGATATTGGCAGTTGCTGAGAGGGCAGAAGTGCATTTTGAGAATTGTATATATTGTATATTTATAAAGAATCATTTTTCATCCCAGTGTTGCACCTTTATTTATTTATTTTTATGAGGCAGTGTATCCATTTGAAAACCTAATTTCCTTCCCTAGGTGATTTATTGCATATGATTGCTTTATATTACTGTCATTAACTCAAGGTTACAGTGGTTAACAAGCTGTTTCTAGACAACTGAGCTCTACAGTAGGGTCCCTTCCCAGAGCTGAAATGAAGTTTACTTCCAGTGATTTGTGGGGCTTCCATGTGCCAATATAGTTGGAAGTGTCTCCTTTTTTATTCTCACCCTCTTTATCCATCTTAATAATAAGTAAGATATTCGGGTCTGATCTCCTTCAACAGGTTGGTGTCAGGGCAGGGTAGTGAGGAACACGGAGTTTGTCCTTGGAATTGGCCAGCTATTTATTTCCATGTTACCTACTGCTGAGCAGGCTACTACAGACCTGGGATGAGTTTAGAGAAAACGTATCCAGGTCCCACCTTTTGAAGTCCTTATTAACTGCAAAACAAGCCTGAGTCAGGGATCTCTAGATCCAAAGCGTTGTGAAGCTGAGTTACTGAAGGCCTTATTTGTCCTTTAAAGAAAATCAAATGGAGGCATAGACATAGGCATTCCCTGATACCGACAGGAATGGGAAAAGGCCAGTCCTATGTGTCATTATCCAATAATGATACCCAGTAAGTTCCAGTAAGTTGTACTTGGATGTCAGGAATCCATTCTGGAGGAAGTTCAGACCTGTTGCTCTCCCCGCCACCTCCTGTCCCAATGGTGAACTCTTTGATTTTACTCCATGTTCCCCAGGACACTGACTAGCTGCCTTCTGAATTCTTTTCAGCATATAGTGAACATTTATTGATTCCTTTGTGCCAAGCACTGTGCTACAGAAAATAAAGGTGAATACAGACCAGTCCTTGATCTCAAGAAGCTTTCGGTTTAGCGAGGAAGACAGAAAAGATAAAATTCAGTGTAATGTGTTAGGTACTAGGATAGAGCTCAGCAGAGGGGGCTGTGATGGCAGCCAGGAAGGACTTAAAGGAAAGGAGATGCCATCTAACTGCTTGCATTGGTAACACCATTAGGTTCTCTCAGCATGCACGGTCTTTTTCTCTGGAGACATCCAGCTCCTCCCTCAATGGGGCATTTTGAACATTCCTGTGTGATCTTTCCTCCCTGTGTTCAGAACACCTTTGGCTGTTTGTCTTCCAGATTGCCAAGAGGGTGATCCTACTGTCAGGCACGCCAGCCATGTCCCGGCCCGCAGAGCTCTACACTCAGATCATTGCAGTCAAGCCAACTTTCTTCCCTCAGTTTCATACCTTTGGACTTCGCTACTGTGATGCCAAGCGGGTATTTATTCTCTCTTCCCTGCCTAGCCCACCAATCCCTGACCCCAATTTTGACACTTACCTTTCTCCTCCTCTCTGGTCATGGTGTGATCAGAAGAGCACTGGCCAGGAAACTGGCCCAAGATTTTAGCTCTTCTATGCCCCCAACTCTGACCTTGGAGTGTCCTCAAGGGTAAGAAGAAAATGGTCCCTCTTAGTTTTAATGGTTGTGGTGATTCCAGGTCAGTGTTTTTCAGTAACAGGGCCAGTGGCTGGTGTATAGGCATGTGGAGCTCTGAGAGCCAACTGCTCTTACCCAAGGTGACAGACAGCTCCCTCACAACTCACAGTGCTGGGGCCTTAGAAGGAAAGTCCATGTCAGATGCTAGCCTGAGAGAAGGTGGTGGCAGCAAGGCAAGCTAGAGGTGAGGCTGAGGCCCTAGGCAGGGGGAAGAAAGTAGATGAGGTAGGTCAGGGTCTTTGCATGGGAGGAATATGAAATAAAAGCAAAAAAAAAAGTCCTTTCTGTGCAAAAAAGACAAAAGAGAGCCTCTGAACAGGTAGAGTGGGAGCATGATCCCAGGCTGCCTTGGGAGGGCTCTCTTCAGCGAGGCTTTGCCCTTAAACGTTGACTCGTTAGAGTGACTTGTACCTAGTCAGGAGGCCAGAAGCCTCTAACCCACAAATTATTTTTATGAATGTGGTACCAATAGAGCAGGTGCCTCTGAACCAACAATCTGCACAGCTTTAGCTCTGCAAACCTGGTGGGGGAAGCCCTATAAGCACAAATGCATTGCACTCCAAACCTCAGTTTCTAAAACCATGTGAATTCAGACCTTGGGGATTCTTATTTTGTGGTCAAGTCACAAATATACCGACACTTTAGAGAAAAGGCTGCAGCTTATTCTACAGGCCATCTATGCGGGAACAGCCTTGCTATGCAAGTTTATGATGTACATAAGATTGTCTGCCTTATTTTTAAAATACTTTAAAAAAGACTTTTCAAGTACTTTAAAAATACCTGCTTACATTAAAAAAAGTATTTATAAAGTAAGTTGTAATGCTTAGCAAAGTTAATTGCAACCGTTTTTATTGAGGCAGGAAATTTCTCAATTGTCGAGTGTATTTAAAAGCCATGTACTTTAATCAAATCTGTAATTCACTTTCTTGGTGGATCAATCCAGATTAGATTGATTGTGTATAGTTTTCATGGTTCCTCAAAACTCTTCATGTGTGATTTGGACCTCTGTCTTATTTGCAAACAATCCACTTTTTGAAAAGGATCTTGTCTTCCTCGACTGTCTGGGTCCATGGGGTAATAATGTTCAGGTGGCAAAGGAAGGGGCTGAAGACAGAATTTCTTGCCTTTGCTCCCTACGCTGTCCTTTCCTGTGTTCCCAGTCTCAGACCACTATCTCCTAGTCGTCTCTCACATCAGAAACTGAGGCACATTCTTGAATTCTGCTTTTCCCTCCTTCTCACAGCCCCTCACCCCAAATAAATCACACATAAACTATTGCCTTTTTTCTCTTCACATCCTTCCTTCTGCCTAGCCCATTGCCTGGTACATGATAGGTTTTCAATAAAAGCTTGTTGGATTATGATTGTTTCAAAGTCCAATGTAAAGTCTTTGGTATTATTAAGTTTTAACCTGCAAGATTAAGAGCTGACAATGTTAGAACTTAGGGGTTTGATAGTTGTCTTAGTCCATTTTCTGTTACTATAACTGAATACCACAGCCTGGGTAATTTATTGAGAATAGAGGTGTATTTAGCTTACGGTTCTGGAGGGTGGGAAGTCCAAGAGCATGGCGTCAGCATCTGCCTGGCTTCTGGCGAGGTCTTTCTTGGCTGCTTCATAACATGGGGGAAAGCATCGTATGGCAAGAGGGCAAGAGCATATAAAGCCACCAGTCCCATTATAGGGGCCGCCCCCTCATGACCTAATCTAATCCTAATTACCTCCCAAAGACCCCACCTTCAATCAACACATGAATTTGGGGATTAAGTTTCCAACATTTGAAATTTGGGGAACACATTTAAGCCATAGCAATATCCAAATTAATTATGATCTCCTTGTTCCCAGCATGGTTTTTATTTAATGCAGCTGGTAGACCAGGGCTGTTTTTTTTTTCTTGCCAGCTTCATGCATTAAGAGGAGGGACCGAAGAGAACACCTTATGCTGAGCTCATTTGTGACCCCATAGCTATCTGAAGGCATTTGCTGAGAACTTTCCATTGATTTTAGAGTATTTTTTTAAAAGAAGAAACTGCTTTTGATCATTTTATTTGTCTACCTTTGACCATCTCTTCCTCTTCTCAATTTAGCAGAGGTTTATGGGACACCTGCCCTGTCTCCACGATTACGCTGGGTCTCTGGCCCTTTCAAAAGGATAAGCCCAGCCCCTGCTCTCAGGGTGCTCACTGGCCAGCAGAAGGTGAGGCAGGAGAGCAGACGAGCCCCTGAAAATACAAGATTACAAACACACCGACTCCCTGATTTTCTGTAGGACTCTAAAAATCAGTCCTGTTTCCAGTGAGATTGTTGATAAAGGATAGGGTTTTTAACGGGTAACATCCTCTCTAGCTGCGTGACAGGGAGTAGACATTTGAGCTCACTGCCTTGGCCTCCCACGAGCTGCTAAACAAGAGCCCGTGTTTATGACGCACTGCCCAGGCACTCAGCCAGACCGGCAGAGCCTGTGTGTTGTGGGCCCCTCCTGCCAACCCCAGCCACCATCAACAGCAACACTGCGGTGGCTTTTAGTGCATGGTACTTGGTTGTGTTGGTGTTGTCCATACTGAGGAACAGTAGTTTTTTTAAGTCCCTGTAAATCTCATCAAATAAAGATGTTATTGGCCGTATTTATTACATTGTGCAGTGGCCTCTGTAGGATAAGCCCTGGGGAAGATTTGTTTCTGTCCTTAGTGTACAGGAATAGTCTGACAAGCTGAGTTTTTTGTTTTTTAATAAAGTGGACACCCAGTCGCTTGACTTTTTGCATTTGCTGCTGGAAAGCTTCGTGCGGAATTGTAAAAGGCTGTATATAATACATGTTTTTTGTTCACCTTTTTTTTCCGTTTTCCTTTCTGTTTCTCATTTGTCTAATTTGGGGTTGTTTGTCCCTGTAAAGTCACTTGAAGCTCTCTGAGCTGAGCCATGGTGGTTGTGAGAAAAGAAACCTGCCCAGAGCTCACACCCTGTTGAAAGTGGCCTTTGAGGAATCTCATGAGTCTGTGTCCGCTTCTCCGCAGGTGGCTTGGGGGTGGGATTACTCGGGCTCCTCCAACCTGGGGGAGCTGAAGCTGCTGCTGGAGGAAGCCATCATGCTGCGGCGCCTCAAGTCCGACGTCCTTTCCCAGCTGCCTGCCAAGCAGCGCAAGATGGTGGTGGTCGCCCCAGGGCGGATCAGTGCCAGGGCCAGAGCTGCCCTGGATGCTGCAGCCAAGGAAATGACCACCAAGGACAAAACTGTGAGTCTGGGGCTGGAGGTGGGAATTTGGAAGCAGACTTGTTTAAGCCTTGCTTCCCTGGAGGGGCCCTGAGGAAATGACCCAGAGTTCTTTCACCTCGCCTTCCTATAACCTTTTCTCAATTCCCTGGGCAAAAACAGTGAGCCATTTTACTCCTCAGCCTGCCCACCTAATCTGTTTTGAAAATCTCTTAGTAATTTGCAGTTTTATGCTTGTGTGGATCGCTATTGATGGATGGTCGTAAAGGTAAACACAGCAGCAGCAGGATAGGGATATTATTCTGAATCTCTCAAAGAAAGTTGAAATTATGTTCAGTGTATTTTGAGAATGCCTCAGTCTAGGAACAGTTGTTTGAAAATTAGTGCTGCATGTATCTAATATACATGTTAACCCTCTAACCACACCACATCGTTTGCGTTAGTTAAAATAACAAGCAAACACATACAACAAAATAAGAGTTTTCAAACTGTCTTACCTTTTAAATCCCTGTCACAGCCATTTATGGTTGGCAGGAAGTTGGCATTCTCCTTTTACAGAGAGAGAAACTGAGGCTCACAGAGATTGCAGTTTGCCCAGAGATGGCTGCTCTATGGCAGAACTGAGGCTAGAACCAAGCTCCATATTTTAGGGCTCTTTCCATTATGGTAATTTTTTCTTTTTAAAACAGTTTTATTATAATATTTCATTCCTTTCTTTAGTGTCATACTGTGCTAAGTGCCATAAAGTAATCTGTAACAGCTCCATTTCTATCCTCTTGGGATAAAACCTTGTAATTTTCATTGTCAAGAAAATAACAGTCATTGTTGATATTTTTTGACATTATCGTAAAGCATTATCTGGGCTCGATATTACCTGATATAAAGAAACTTAGATATAGATGAGATCTGAGCCTTCTGAGAGATTACAAAATAAATAAGAATGACAAGAGGCAGAATGCATGATGTTTTTAATGTTATTTTACCTTGTGACAAGCAAGATTAGCTGAAAACTTTTAAGAAACAGGTAGGATAGAGAATGCACTGGCAAATTGTTAAGCTGTATTATGCTGTATTACATATGATAATGTGGATGGTCTGAGAGAAATGAGCAGGCATAATCTCTTTGCTGTTGAGTTTTGAAACAAAATTCAGCAACACTGATGTGGACATACAGACCAGCATTCTTAAATTATATGTCACTGGAACCATGAGCAGAACCAAGGAGCTTTTTCACTGAAACCAATATTGGTCTTTTTCTGACTTCTAGAGATAAAATTCAATGAGTGGAATCTTTAATGTCTGCTGACTTTTATCTACTAGTGAATTCCATCAGACAAGAAAACCAATGAACAAGTACAGCAAATATTAATGGAAAACAGACATGCAATATTTTTAGATGAAAGATCTGAATATTTATAACATGTTTTTTGCTAGAAATGTTATTCCCTGTATGTTTGAGATGGAAGTAAGTCTATCAGTGTTTCATGGGATTCCCCAGAGAACAGTCTGGCCCATACCTGGTCTACCTCCTGAATCAGTTTGAGAACAGCTAATGTAGACAACTGAAAAAGCAATCAGTGGGCATTTGTATTGAGGAGGAAAGTAACATTGACTTTGAATTATGCAGTATGGCCAAAAAGAAAAACAAAGAAATAGAAGCAGTGAGAATTTTGCACTTAGTGCAGCAAAGTCTGAAAGCATGTTTTAAACTAAAAATAATTCTTAAAGTTCTACCAACTTGAGTAGTTCTTCAAGTTAGGTGAGTGGCTCTTTTCAAAGGTGATTTCAAATGCAACCTGGAAGTTGATTTCTTAATTTATTGGTGATGATAAGAAATTGACTAGGATGAGCCATGGGAATTAGGAATGTTGGACGTTTTATAACTTTCCTTAAATTCTTTGGGATATTTTAATATTTTCTTATCTAGAAAATGGAGCCACAACTCCCTTTTGGTACTAGAGAAGTACATAAGGATAATGCCAGTTGCCCAGAGTCCTACCTGTTATGTGATTATCATCTTTGCTTCATAAACCCCCAAGTCTTAACTATGTTTTGTAGATTATGACAATGAAGCCTCAATTGCAGTGTAATTCCTCAAGAATCCAGCTGAGAAAGAGCACAGAGCTCTTCTCAGTCTCTAGCACTTGAGAGCAGCTGTCTGCTTCCTTGAGTCAAGAAAATTAAGCATTTATCCCTGAAAGACAGAAATTGAGTTGGTACAGACTACCTTCAGTATGACACTGAAGCCAGATACCAAATTCTTTTCGATAATGAGATAAGTCCTTGAGAACTTGGTGCCCTTTCATGTTTTAACGTAATGGGAAATTCAAGTAGAAAATGAATTTGTGTGTGTTGTGCTTTGGACTATCACAGCCTTTCTACATCGAAAGTCATTGATTTGGTGCATTTCTAAGCCAAGGATCTGATCAGGATCATTGTTCTAACTTAATTCAAGACAGGGAGTCAGCATCACCGGGGGGCCGAGCTGGAGCCCAGAGACATCCCTTCGAAACCGCACTGGCCGTGAGATCCCACACTGAAAGAGTTAAAATAGGAAGTCATGTTTTTATGGTTTTAGTCAAATAAGGAATCTACAGAAAGCTCCCTACCCCTAGTTTTTACAGTTACTTTTTAGCCCCAAGTTTCTGTGCAGTTTCGCACTACATGGTGGCTCCAGCCAAGTAGTTCTGACCTGCCTGTAACAAATTCATCCTTTTCTTTGTTCCTTCATACCTTTCCATCTGGAGGAAGACATTTTTTAAAAAGCTTTATAAAAAATCGGCGAAGCAGCCAATTTATAAAATATAACATATAATGAAAGCTTTTTTTCATTTTGCGGCTGAAATAATAGACATCGCTTCAGAGGCTAAGGAAAGCTGACTGTAATCATCTTTTGTCTAAAGCCATTTTTTCAGCAGCAAGACCAGGAGCAGAAAAATGGAACAAGTCCATGCAGATTTCCTGGTGACGATTATTGGTTCACCTTGCCACTTGACAATCCATTCAAATTTCCAACACAGAAAAATGTGAAAACTCCAGTGGATCTAATTTAATAAGAGTCTAGGCAGGAACAAAGAAAGCAGGTTATTTAAAATTTCCTGGCTGAAAGAAGTGAGATCATTAAAGGATAGTATTATGTCTGCACAGTTTGAGGGAGTTTTTTTTTTTTAACTATTGAGTCTTCCCACATTAAAAATATGATAGATGTCTCATATAAAATCTGAAAAATAAAAAGTACTTACAATAAATAATACTTATTGAACACATGCTACATGCCGGGCATGATGCTTTATATTAAGTCCATGTAATTCTCACCATCAGCCCAGATTTTGGGCCTCAGAGCTGACACAAGTGCTGCAAATTCTGCCTCTGCCATTTAGTAGCAGCGTGACAAGTAAGATCACTTGACTTTTTTGCCTCTGTTTCCTCATCTTTAACGAGGATAACAGTACCTTCCTCATAGCAATGTTGATTATTAAATGAGTTAATGTAGATACAATTCTTAGAACACTGCCTGGCCCATAGCAAGTATTAATAGTATATGAGTGTGTTGTTATTTTTATTACTACACTATAAAAAAGAATCATGTTTTATATCACATAATTTTGGCACGTATCATTTGGATATTTTTCTATAATTATATATATTTTGCTTTAAAATATATCTGTATATGAATATGTATACATAAAATATGTATTAATTATGTGTATAATAAGCAATATATATTTTAAAAGCAGAATTGGGATTGTACAAACATACATCAAGTAGGAGGAAAACAGCTTACATAACTGTCTCATGAAGACGTTTCCATGTCGTTAAAGGTTCTCTTAAAAGATAGTAATTAAAGACTGCATAGTGTTTTCTCACATGGCTATAATTTTGCCAATCATTTTTAGTTGGACCTTGAAGATATTTTCAATTGCTTATTATTCTGAGTGATACTATACTGAAAAAGTAGCTAACATACGAATTTGTGCACATCTGATTAAATCACGAGAATAAATTTTCAGGAGTAAGTTGCTGGGACAAGTATGTGAGCATATTTTAAAGGCGTTTGGTACATATTGCCACGTCATCCCCAAAAGCGTTGGCCCAGTGTACCTTCCCACCAACCATGTGTGATAAAGGTGCTTATTTCTTCATGCCCTCGTCAGCTCTAGGTGCTGAATCTTGGGGCAAGGTTTCTGAAAGTGCTTCTCATCGTTCTCATCTGTTTTGCCCTCTGCTTTATTAGGAAGTGTGGAGTGAGTGTGGGTGGGGGGAGCGGACAGTCTCTAAAGGACGCGGGAGTAAAACCACAGACTGAGGCCGGCTGGCGTATATCCCAATTGAGGCACAAACGCTGTGCGTGAGGTCACCATATTCTACTAGGGACTACATTGTGCTAGAGGATCTAACCTGCTGCTGGGGACCCCTAGAGGTCCGTGAGTGGACTTCGTGAAGTCTGTGAGCTTATTTGCCACAGGTGAAGAGCTGTATGTGTGTCCAGAGCCTGTCACAAAGTAGGAGGGTTGGTGGCTGCCACTGCCACGACGCATGTAAGATACAAATGGGATCTACTGTCCAGTCAGTGCCCTCACAGCTTCCTTTGGTTCCTGGGTGTCTCTCTTCTTTCCTGGAAAGTCCTAGAGGAAAGACACTGTTCAAAGCCAAGAGCCGTTTGGACCAGGCAGCTTTTTCCACCATCCATCGTGTCAGTAATTTTCGGTACAGTCTGGGTGTGGCTGCTTTCCTGAGTTATTGAGAGCCCAGGAAGAACGAGTCCAGGGCCTTGGATAGTATTGCTGTTGAACCACTTCTTTGTTCTGTGAGGAAGCTGCCCTGTCAGTCACTGGTCTCACAGAGCCCAGGCACGAGAAGATGGGTGCAGCTGTAAACCCACGCTTGCTGGTGGAAGGAGATGGCCACTAAGGCCAGATGGTCTTAGTCCATTCATGCTGCTGTAACAAAATACCTTAGATTGGATAATTTATAAACAAGAGAAATGTGTTGCTCACAGTTCTGGAGGCTGGAAAGTCTAAGGTCAAGGTGCCAGCAGATTCAGTGTCTGGTGGGGGCCTAGTCTCTGCTTTAAAGATGGCATCTTCTCACTGCATCCTCACGTGGCAGAAGGAACAAACAAGCTCTCTCAGGCCTCTTTTATAAGGGCAATCATCCCACTCATGAGAGCTCTTCCCTCATGACCTAAGCATCTCCCAGATGCCCCATTTCCCAGCACCACTGCACTGGAGATCAAGTTTCAGCATATGAATCTTGGGGAGATACAAACATTTAGACCATAGCACTATCCTACCAATGAGGGTAAGAGTACCATCTCTGGGAGGCCAGAGCAATAGTACGTTATTTCATACCATTTTGAAACTATTTGAGCACTTCCTGTGTTAGCATTCTTTATTAGGAATAATTCAGATGCAAACCATAAAGAAAACATGGTTTCTTCTTCTGGGAAGTTAATTACCTTATGTGAGAGACAGATCAAAAATATGAATAATGGTTTTGAAATGATACTGGGATAGACTAGTTGGGGTTAGTTGGAATTGATTCAGTAAGTCTCGGATAGAGGTGAACTTGGTCGGGTACAGACACAACTTGGCGCAAGAAAAGGGGGAGGCAGAAAGCAAGTTGGGCACATGTCACATATACGTGATCACCAGCCTGAAGTACATAGGTGTACCTAGCCAAGGCTGCATTTCATTGGGTCACATGGGTTCGCTGTGTATAGTGAAGCCCTACCTGAAATGCTTTACCAAAGAGCTTTCATGTTTCTTGCCTGTTGGATCCTTACAGCAGTTCTTGGAGAATGACAGAGTAGCTGTAATTCTGTCTCTGAGGACCAAACCAGAGACCAGGCAATTCCTATGACTTGGCTAGAGCAGAAAGATAAGTCATCATCCTAACTCTGGTGATCGGTAGTTAAGATTTGTAAAGCTCATAGTAGCGATAATTAGGTCAGCTTATTTCAGAGTGGGGTGATTTTAAACTCTCAACTTCTCTTTCAACAGCTTCGGCAGCAAAAAGAAGCCCTCATTCTCTTCTTCAACAGAACAGCCGAAGCTAAAATCCCATCTGTCATGTAAGTGGTCACCAAGTGTCGGTATCTCTCTCTCAATCTTTGGAAAAAAACCAAAAAAATAATTATTGCCTTAGTCTGCCAGAATGGTTTTACTGCTCTCTAAGAAGTGATCAGAGATTAGAATTATAGCTGCCTTGAAAATAAAGTTTAGGGCACTGTGGGCTCATTACCCACAAGGCATAAGTTATCCTGTAACTGGAGCCACTGCCAGGATGTGCTTGGGCTCCGGAAGAGATCCTGTCCTCACCCAAGTAGGCTGGAGCTGCTGCTACTTAAAAGGTGGGGGTGG